ATTGCAGTATTGCAAATATCGTTTATTAGTATTAAGTATTAAAAGATAGTCATTAATACTCATGATAAAGATGTATGTATGTGTATATGTATGCATGTTTATATGTATGTATGTATATGTAAATGTATGTATGTATTATTACTACGTTATTTATTTATTTTCTTAGTACACAACCCGTCTAAATATTTCTTTTCATTATATCCACCCAAAGGTTGTCTGGTAGAAATCACTATAAGTGATAAGACCGCCTTTGTGCCTATTATTATTTTTATTTATATTTGTCATTTCCTTTTCTGTATATACTGTATTATTAATGGTGTACAATAAAGTTACATTCTATTCTATAGAGATGTTTACCCCGTCTTTTATAAAGTACTATCTTTTAACCGCGACTTCTATCATATGTATGTCCCTTGAAAAGTACTATTAACTATATTAAGTATGCATTTCATGAAGTAGAAAGTATAAAGCGAAAGGACATATCAAACAAATACGCAAAGAAACTTACTTATCCATTTATAATATTAGGTTACTTGTGTTAAAATCTGAAAATGATATATTATTTGTTGGTTTGCACTGATCAAGGTAATCGACTACGTGCAACCAATCGCATGCAACGTCATTAATAGCATTACTCATAACAAACGACGAAAACAACATATGTCTTAGGTAATAAATATTATATGTACCTACTTTATCTATTCTCATGCCAGTTTGGAGTTTCCATTCATGAATTGCAAATTTTTTTTGACGTGACAACGTCTTAAATTAGGTTGCGGCTGGGAGTCACTTATGAAAAAGTGTAACGCTCGGTAACGTTACGATGAGTCACCGAACGAGAGAGAGGCCCGCCGAATGCCTTGCGTCTCTCTCCCACTCAACTATGATCGGTCTGCCGCGCGCGCAGCACTAGTTCATTCAATTCCTTGTTCCTATTGTGCAATTTAATTATATTCATATCAATAAATATTCTACCGAGAAAAAGACGTTGTCACGTAAAATCTTCGCCCGTAAAAACGACTTTACAGGCAACCATTTTTTTTGCCATTTAATAAACTTAGACGCAAAAAAACGTAGCCACTATATACTCCACTAAATACATTATAGACCTTATTCCCAATGATTAAATACTACTTTTGTATGAACAAATTTAGGGGATGATTTTCAACAAATTTCAACGGGTAAGAATATTCCTTTTTCAACAAAATGCTCTCATTTTACCGATTTCAAAAAAGGAGGAGGTACTATGTTCCGCTGTTTTTTTTTTGTTAGCTAATTACTCCGCCATTTGTGAATTATGGTGCCGACTTTTAGCCTATCAGGGGGTGGGTAATCTATCAATACTAATTATAGTTATTTGAAGTCGGTTTTTAAACGCAGTTTTAAAAAAGTAAGTAAATTGCATTTTATACGACACATTACAAATTAATAAAATACTTGTATCAAAAAAAGATATATTTAAAAAGTTAAAAAGTAAAAGCGCTAGTGACTCCGTTACTTTACTCTCAAGTAACGCTACGTAGAAAAGTCTTTAACATTAGAATCATTAAAATATATACTCATGAAAAAGTAACTGTTAATTAATATTATATTAGTATTATTTATGTTGTATGTGCCTTCATTTTTATACCTACATATGTATCTATTTGATTACATAATCAAGGTACATGATAGATCCTATCGAGTATATATTTGGTTATTTGGTAAACAACAAGATATAATAATTATCAAAAGAATTCTTATCATTGTTGAATATTTTATAGACAATGATCAGGCTCAGATATCATGTATAATATATAGTTTTGTTTTTTTAAAACCCCCACTCTAGGATTTTCTCCTGCATTGTGGGTGCGTTTACAAACACGAAATTTGATATATACACGACACCTCGACCCGGAACAACAATTTGTGGTTCGCAGTTGCCCAGCCATCGCACCAACAGTGCAGCAAAAATATAATTTATGCATAATTCTGATAGAGACATTTTAATATTGAGTATTGGCATACACAATAATAATTAAATGCATTACATAATGGTTAGCCTCTTAGACTCTACAAAATATGAACAATTTGAAAGTTACCTTATCAGCCACAAAATTGACCAGTTCCTTGTCAGTAACTTTTGATCCTGGCATTTTCACTACAAAGGCTGTGGGGAGTTCACCAACCATAGGATCTGGTTTCCCTATAACTCCCACATCTTTAACACCTGGATGCTGAAGTAAAATTGCTTCTAATTCTGAAGGAGCTACCTAGAAGAATACATTCATTAATAAATATTAATAATTATTTGTTACCATTTTCGTAGCTTCTATCACAATACTTACTTGGCCAGCCTTGTACTTAATCAATTCTTTAATTCTGTCTACGAAGAAAAAGTAGCCCTCTTCATCATAGTAACAAATATCTCCCGTTTTGAAAAATCCTTCTTCATCTAATTCATCCTTTAAGTTCTTTCCAATATAGCCTCCAAATAACGTCGCACCCTTTACGCGAACTTCACCTTCTTGTCTAGGCCCTAATGCCTTACCAGTTTCAATGTCTGCTATCTAAAATGTGATTACATTAGTACCAAAGGGTACCTACCTTTACCTTTTATTATACATGCTAATTTCAAGCACTTTGCTTTAGTACATGTTGATGAAGTGAAAGAGGTATGTAAAAATTGTAGTAATTAGTGCTCCATAATCTCTGCCTACCCACACGGGAGACAGGTGTGAGGTTATGTATGTATGAAAGCATCCTTGAATTAGCATTTGTCACTTAGGATGTGTATCGGAATATTGCTCAGAAATAGCATGATCATTTTGGGCATTTTTGCGAATCGACAGGCGTTCGATCTTGAACATGTTTGAGCATGCTCAATAGAACGCATGTATTTTAGACCATGTGTAACAGTACCTTTACAGTCGGGGAAGTTTGAATTGAGTTAGTAACGTTTTACCTTTACGATGTTTCCAAGTGCAATTTTGCCGACACTTCCAGGTTTTGTTTCGACGTCTGTCTCTTCAGTTAAGGTTCCTGTTACTTCTGTCATTCCATAGCCTTGTAGAACGTGTTTTAAACCCTTGAATCTGTCGAGTTTATGTCAAATTAAAATATGTTTTTCAGTTTAATTATTCTCCATAGTAATTCTTAAGGTTTTACGCCATCGTACCTTTGTTTAATCTCATTAATTACACCTAGATCTAAAGGAGCTCCTCCACAGTGTACCATTTCAACTGAGCTCACATCGTAATTCTGTACCAGTGGTGATTTTGTAAGCGTAACTACTAATGGAGGGACTGCTAATAATACTCCAATCTGAAAAAAAAAAAATCAAGAACGTTAGTGGATTTGTAACTCCTTAGGCCGTTTTTACCAATTACCGTGTCACTTAACTAAAAGTCACAGCGCATTGCAGCACCTAAGCTGACTTACTTGTACTATAACGAGTATATATTAAAAATTAAAAATGATGTTAAACGCCACCTATTGTAGCTTAGGAGTTCTTTTGAATTTAGGAGAAGTTGATAAAAACGGGCGCTAATATCTTTATACGTACTCTGTACTTTTGAATACATGAGAGGTATTGCTCCACGTTGAATCTAGTCAGATATACAATGGTTCGATTGTTGACCAGCTCATCCATTGTGCTCATGATTCCAAAGGTGTTAGACCAGGGAGCGTTGGACAAGAAGATTAGGTCTTTCGTGATGTGGCTGCAAAGAGAACTTGGTTTAAATAGGTAATACATTTTTTTTACTGTTGTTATAGTTAATGCCATTGCTAAGTTTCGAAACCGCGTCCTCATGCATGAGAAGTACCAATATGACATTTTTCGAGTTATGGTATATGTACTTTATTCGATTTTTAGATACCACTGACAAACGGTAAAGGGAAACATCGTTGAAACAAGTTTGAAATCGTCAATCCGCATTGAGCTAGCGTGGTGATTAATGCTCAAACCTTCTCCGTGTAAGAAGAAGCTTAGCTCAGCAGTGGACATTTATAGGCTGTTGATGTATGTAATGAAATGTCTTAATGAAAATGAGTAGCTTTTTTGCTCCTTAAACATATAGAAAATTGCAAATTATACAGAACCATTTCAATTTAAAAATACCTCTAGGTTTTCTTACCTCGGTTGGTTAACAGTAGTGATTAGGTTCAAATGCGTCAGTTTTGCTCCTTTAGGCAGTCCCGTTGTACCAGATGAATACAAAATCAAAGCCGGCTGTGCCAGTCCTATTAAATTAGCAGTTATTGTCAAATGTGGTTTATAGCTAAATTGTTTACAATACAATTATAATGGAGTTGCTAAATTAAATTCTACCGGTATTGTAGCAGAAATCCAGTAGATTATATAATTAGATTTAGTCTTGTTTTTTGACTTCTATAGGTTGGTATAAATATTTTTAATGTATTGTGAACATACTTGAAAATGATTACCATAGTTATTAATAACTAATTCTTACCATTAATAGGATCGCTAACTGGTTTGAAATTATCGATATTAACATACGTCTTAATTAAGTCATTAAACTTCGAAATGTTAGGATCATTGACGGAATCGCCGAATATATAGAATTTTTCTACAATTTTTGTCCCAACTATAGTACTATAAAATTTGTTGTGAGTATCAGGTGAAAGGAATACATATTTCGGCTTTGAGATTGATATCGTGTGCTCCAATTCATCTGCAAGCAGAAAGACAAATACCATTTAAAATGTAAGTTTGTAATTTATTAAAGCTGTTGACACAGAAATATGCAAAGGGACGTTTTCTATGGCACAGAAACTAAATCGAATCATTACAAAACAAAACATGAAATCTCAAGACACTTACTTTTGCTGTAGGCGGAGTTGAGAAAAGTGACGGTAGCACCACTACACCACGTAGCGATTGCAGTAATCAAGAATTCCGTTCTGTTCTCACTGCACACAGCAACCACTTCATCACGTTTCACACCTAAGCGTATTAACGACGACGCCGCATTCACTACCAACTGCACCACCTCACCGAACGTTATTTGTTGCCCCGTCTTCGCATCGATCTTTGACATCAAAAACATTATTAATTAACAACACATCTTCATTAATTAAATTACTATCATCACCAACACTTGTAGACCTTACCAAAGCCACTTTATCTTTCGCTCTCAACATGCGGTCAATAGCAAGTTTTCCATAATTCATGTGTGATGGTATCCAACATGGTTGATCTTTGTAAATAATTCCGCGTGTACTTTCGGTCGAAGTCATCCTGTTCGTGTGTAGTGTCCACTTGAAAGACGTTGTATCAACTGACGTTTTCGGACAAGATATCATGTTTATGTAACTAATGAGCATTTTGTTTGCGTTGATAAAATGCGCGTTACCTTGACAGATAACGTGGAAGATAGTAATAAAACACGTTTAGGAATAAAATAAGAAATATGTAATGTGTCAATTTTTTTATGTTAATTCTATCACCACAATAGAAGAAGCCTTGAATAAGAACGTAAGAGCTTGTCATTTTCAAACATTTACCACTGATGACCCAAACATAGCATATCAGACCTTTATTGATGATTTTAAACTTATTTATGACCTTTGCTTTCCTAAACGGAAATTTTTAATGAAAGTCTACAGTAAACCTAAATGGATATCGCGTGGAGTGAAGATATGTAGTAGAAGAAAAAAAGCTCTGCTGTGGAATTCCAGGCTTAATCCTACTGAACAAAATAAGGATAAATATAAAAGTTATTGTAAACTGTTTAAAAAAATTGTAACATTAACAAAAAGAGCACAAAATAACTATAATATTAAAACGTCACATAATAAATGTAAAACGGCATGGCGAATAATAAACAAAATGCGACTTAATGTGCCAAAAGAAACTATAAAAAATATAAAAATCAATGACACTAAGTATGTTACAAATCCAAAAGATTTAGCAAATTTATTTAATGATTATTTTATTGAAAAAGTGAAACCTATTCATGGAGCTGGAAAAAATGTGACAAATTTGATTAACCGTCCTCTTAACTCAATGTTTCTTGCACCTGTTTCGGCGCAACAGGTTAATAAAATCATTAAAAGTTTAAAAAATACAAACAGTGTGGGACATGACAGTATTTCCACGAAAATAATAAAATCTGTAAATGAAACCATCTCCCAACATCTGAGTCATATACTAAACCTATGCATTGCGAAGGGAATATTTCCAACACAGCTTAAAACAACAATCATTAAACCTCTGTTCAAAAAAGGGAATAGACAAATACTAGAAAACTATAGACCGATTGCACTTATACCAATATTTGCTAAAATATTTGAAAAATATCTGTACAGTGAAATGAACACATATTTAGAGAAAAATAATATTCTTTGCAATGAACAAAAAGGTTTTAGAAAAAACAAAACTATAAATATGGCCATTTATGAATTCATAGCCAATGTATTAACTCATGTAGATAAATCGTCTCCAGTATGCTCAATATATTGTGACATGTCACAGGCGTTTGATTATGTGCACCATGGTATACTAGTGGATAAACTTGAAGCCAATGGCATAAGGGGAAATGTTTTGAAATTGGTACAATCTTACTTGACAAACCGAAAACAAGTAACTGAAATAAATAGAATTAATATAAGTACAAAAACTGAGGTAACATACACCTCTACAACACGTGATATATCTTACGGTGTTCCTCAAGGCAGCGTTCTGGGGCCACTCTTATTCATTATTTACATAAATGACTTGCCAAAAACAATAACTCAACCTATGACATTGTTTGCTGACGACAGCACAATTATAATTCCGTGTAATGACATCTACCAATATAATTTAGATATTAACAATTCATTGACATCTGTAATTTCATGGCTTGATAATAATAATTTAAAAATAAATTTGACGAAAACTAGTATAATGCATTTTGGACAAAGATTATGTAATCCACTGAATGTAATTTTAACTCACGACAATTATAATGTGCAAGAAGTAACTGATGCGAAATTTCTTGGTTTAACGATTGATAGCAAATTAAATTGGAAAGAGCACATAACCGCATTAAGTAAAAAAATTAGTAGTTTATCGTATGTCCTGTATAGCCTAGGTCCAATAATTAACATCGAGGCATTGCTTTCAGCATATCACGGTCTTGTCGAGTCTGCTCTGAGATATGGTATAATTTTTTGGGGTAACTCGACAAACAAGGGCATCATATTTAAATTGCAAAAGCGGTGCGTAAGAGCCATGTTCCGTAAACAGAGTTCGGAGAGTTGTAGGCCATTATTTATAACGCATAAAATGCTGACAGTACCATCACTCTATATCTTAGAAGTAGCACTGTTTGTTAGAAGCAACTCTCACTTATTTCCCACTCTGGCTGATAAAGTAAAACGAAATCGACGTGACAACAATCGACTATGTATTCACCCATCTAAAACAGCACTAATGCATAAAAGCGTGATATGTATGGCTCCCATAATTTATAACAAAATTCCTAAAGAAATTATTAAATTAAATTTAAACTTATTCAAACAAGCGTTGAAAAAACTACTAGTTAATAAATGCTATTATAGTGTTCATGACTTTGTAAATGACAAATGTTTGTAATTTTTCTTTGTTGTCCCTGGTCAGGAGGTTTGAGTCTCTTATAGGAATGTTACAATTTAAAAGTTTAATAACTGTTGTAATTGGATTTAATATTATATTCCACATTTGTACACCAGAAATGGTCAAACATGTTGATACTATGCTCACTGCTCATCTGTACAACTTATAATGTGCATTCTATGATGTATTATTATTTAACACGTGTTTTTGCAAATAAATAATCTTTGTCTTTGTCTTTGTCTAAGCCTGTACCATGTACTGTCAATATGTCCATGTAAAATTGCGCAAAAAATGATGTTCTTAACTTAGAGAAACTTCACGATTATACGGATATCACTGCGTCTCCGTGCACTATATCAAGACAGTTAGTGAACATAGTAACTATAGTACCAATGTAAGTGACAACATAGATATAAATGTTCCAGTACCGCACTGGGTCAGGTTAAGCGAATTAAGGTGATGAAGCTAGCCTAGCTCGCTAAAACGAGGTCTCTACATAAACTAGTTTGCTGCCTCAGCTTGTCATATCTAGATTTTTTCTAGATTGCTCCTTTGACGTTGCAAATTATTTTGTTGTTTTACTTAAGTTTATTTATTAACGCTGTCTTTGGTTGATTATAGCTATGAAATATTTGATCGTAGTAGCAGTGTCTCAATGGAATGTTTTGTTTTCTTTATTTTTATAGGTAGGTCATATATGACATACGTATTATCAGACTAATAATTGACGAATTGTGGCAGGCACACAACAATAAAATCGAAATTATTTATTTTAGAGGATTACTAAATTACAGGTTATTGAATGAAGGAATTAAAGTATTATGATCGTGGCAGAGATAAGTGAGATAAACGTCGAGTTTTCAACAAAAGTATATCAAATTTTTATATAAATATCGCAATGATAAAATGTATAGAAGCTCTGCAATTTTGAGAAAAATGAAACATTTCACGGCGTGTTAACAGCTATTCTGCTGTTTGACAATTGACATATATCTCTTAAACTCATTTCGGTGTTTTGTACATAAATAGATTTATACTAATCAACAGGCTAACTGCTCTTAGCAATGGACTAGATATACGATAATGTAATTATAACGGGGGGGGGGGGGCATTAACGGGATACATATATCGTATACTCCTCTCGTGATAGCGGATCACACAAAACAACCTCACTGCTAGATGGACAAATAATTATGGAATTGTTAATAGTGCGTGTAGTTTTCAATTACAAAATTAACATGTATATTGAATCTCGTCGTCACGAGATCTCCCAGTAATCTCCGATCAACGCACACATACTGTTTCTGAATGTGCACACGTGCATATAATTGTAATCCTTATACTGAACCTAGAGGGCACACATGCGTAGCCATTTAGTAGCCCGTTCTACATGCTAAATAAAGCGATTTAAAATTACCTAGTAATAAATTTAGGGAATATTAATTTTGTTTATTTTATATTGTAGTTATAATTTAGGTTTTAACTTACATGAATGAATCTACAAGACACCAGCCACCACTGCCAAACGGTGATGGAAAACTTTGTGAGGAAACCTGGGCTAAAATTTCTAATTATAAGTTTGAAATCGCCAATCCGCATTGAGCAAGGGTGGTGATTCATGCTCAAACCTTCTCCGTGTGGGAGAAGGCCTTGCTCAGCAGTGGGCTTTTATAGGCTTTTGATGATGATGATGAAACGAATCTAACTGCGATACTCAGAGACATTTAATAATTACTTAAACTATATCTCACTAACAATTTTGTTCCGAAAACAATTGCTAAGGACTGGGTTCGGTAGCCTTAAATGAGTTTAAGTACGGCGGTTAATAAATTAAATTAATCTGTATACTGTTGCTCTTTTATTTTTCCATAAATTATCATTAACGTTTTAGAATACCAATTACCTCCCTTCTCAACCTCCACAATGCCCGAATTCTCAATGATCCTCAAATTTCTAACACCACTGGTGTTTCGGGTGCCGATTGCTTACCATTAGATGAAGCCGCCTGCTCGTTTACCGTTTATTCTATAAAAAAAATTCAATGTCAATAGAATTTATAAATTAATTTAACTTGAGTATCATTTATAAAATACAATTACAAGGCCCTATCGTTTTGTGAAACATGTGCACTTTACATTATCTGATTGATAAAAATATGGTCATATTGTTAAAAGAAAGAATTTTATCTTTATTCGTCACGTAAAACTGATCTAGTTGGTATCTAATCTGACAAAAACAATTTCTGTAATATTACGTAAACGTACATAATTGTTTACTCGTTTAAAATGTACGAACATCACATCGCATGATTGTATTGCAGCAAGTTAACTAGGTATCGAAATTGTTATATAGACATAGGCTTTTATAAATAAGAACAACAATAAATAATAGAATACATACATAGGTACATAATACAATTTACCTTCGTTTTATAGAGGTAACTTATTTTTTCTAAGACATATTTTGTTCGGTATTGTTTAACCAATTAATCTAAAAAAAAAGAATACAAGGAAAGTGGTTACTAATATTCTTTCAGTGATTAAAATGTATCAAGTTTAGTAATGTTATACAGTCAACACGAGAACTGCATATCTAAAATGTTTGGTATATCTGTTCCACTTACAATGAAATCTCGGATGTGCTTTCCGAACATTCAGCAGATGTCTACTTAAGCATTTCTCACGCATTCAAATGTCCGCATTATCCGTATAATATAATAATTCTGAGTGTATCTACGGTTCCA